TGTCAGATTTTGTTCAGACCAAGTACGGGATAAGCCAGATGTGATCGCATATCTTGGTTACTGTATCCGAAGTCTAGTAGGTGATTCCAGGATGTGAATGTGACGAATCCGTGTTGAATACATCTGATCCAGAGATCCATCAGCAATCTGTAAAGTTGTGGATACTCGGTTGTAAGCCAGTAGTACGCCGACGACCTATCGGGATATCTGGAAGCAAAACGGAAGGTTGCCGAGGGAGTATGGATGAAGGAGTGAAGAAGGCCGGGAAGCAGAGGAGTAATGCTCAGCCGGAGGAAGGTAGGAAATCCGGAAGAAGACCGGAGGGTGGTAGATAATAAGTCCGTGTAAGCACCGGAAGAGGATGGAGTCGAGTGCTGATAAGCCATGCAAATAGCTACACATGAAAGATTGCAATTTTGCGATCTCGACTAGTGAAAGCAACATGCAAACATCCCAGCGCAGTTACTGTGAGCCTCGAACAGATAACTACTAGTCACATAGCTAGAGTTCTTCCTCAATGGAGACTCCTCGAATAACCGAACAGTACCTAGGACCCTGCCTAGACGAGCTGAAGCTAGACTTGGACCAAGAGGAAGTGAAGATATTATATTTGGTGCCATACCAAGTGTTCGCGACAGTTTCAAAGTGTCTGCGACGGTTTCAAACCCACCTCCAGGGACCAGTGTTATTTGTGCATGCATTCCGAGACTGGGAGACGTGTTTTGATCACATGTCAACATCACATGATAGATCATGATCCAGAAGGCCCAGACTCCAGTCTGGACAAGCTAAATTCGTTCAAGGAATGCTCCGAGATCAAGTGTCAACCTGTCCGATCATGACAGCTGTCATGGTCAAACCAAGAGAAGTTGAATCCAGTTTAACACACAGAGAATGAAGCATCGAGGAGGAACCTAGTCTTTCGAGACCCACTACTAGGACTGTTGTATCCGTGTCAGAGAAAGGAGGGAAAGAGAGAAGGAGAGGAGGTAGGTTCCGGATGATGGATGTCCGGGCCGGAGGGACGGAAGGCCGGAGGACGGTGAAAGACAGTCACTCCTAGTGCGGATGGATCACGTTCGAGAAAGGTTCACAAAGCTAACTTCTATAAAACCCAACCCTAACCAAAACCACTCAACGACACCTTTCCTTAATAGGAATGATAGTTTAAGTTCAGGGGTGTAGACCAAGCAAGTATTAGGTCAAATAGCCAAGTGCATGCAGGTTTCAACTGTTCGAGAAAGTCTCGTAGTTGAGCGTGGTGCGTTTTGTTGGTTCAAGGAGCGCTTTCCTTTGTTCATGGATGAATGTAGGTTGCTTAGTATAAGAAACAGACTCGAAGGTCTGGCGTGGTTTGTTCCGAGGAACGGGTTTTTGCTAACACGTTGGCTTAACAAGCTCGCAACGATGGTTCGCGGACACAGGGACACAGAACACGGGACACAGGACACACAAGAACACGTTCACGGACACAATGACAAGACAAACACAAGACACAGGACACAGACACGTTCACAGACACAATTCCACAGTTCAGGTTCACAAGTCCACACGGATATTAATCCAAACCACAAGTCACTTTATATCAGATGAAAGAACAGTTGCGCTGGGCTACTGAGCTCTCGAGCCAGACCTATCTACAACACTACTGTGTCTAGAGGCGGGGTCTGCTACTGTACTGCTAAACTGCCTGTTCTTTTATACTACTCTCTTATCGCGATGAATAAATAATATTATATACACTGGTCCGTTTATCCGTGAAATCTGACTGGAAATCCCTGCTCAAATAATGCTATTGGCTCCCTATACCGGTAGATCGAACACCGGTTCAGACTCGATCGATCGAAGTTGAAATATTATGGTATCTTGGTGATAATGCTGGGTCTGCGACTCGCAGATCAGGCGACGCTCTTGCCTAGACGCGTCTCTTCTTCGTCCTAGCCCTATTCAGATTCTCCTACTGAGGTCGGGGTCTCTTCGCGAGCGACTTATACAGTTCGTAGGTGCTGTCAAACTCTCGCAGTTCAACTATATTGATCGTGTTTCGGCTGTTGCCATCTTTGATCGGACAGCTCCACCTGGAGCGCACTTTGGCATCCGTCACCTAATTCATCTTGGTCATACTCCGGATCTGCACGGACCTCGGAGCTATAGCCGTTTGGGGTATTCGCCGCTTTTCCGTTCTCGGAGCCCTCCGCTTACATGTGACACACACGTCCACTAATTCCAGGAATGCCGCGACAAACAAAGTGTCTCTGGAGGTGGTCGCGACCACTGAGTTCTGTCCGTGATTGCCAAATATAGATTCCTTTTAACTCCTCTGTAGTCCAAGTCAGCGTCAGCGCTTCTAGGCGGGTTCCTAGGTACTGTCTGGTTATTCGAGATCGTCTCCGTATGAGTGCAACTCTAGCTATATGACTGGTAGCTCTCCGCGCGAGGTGTCATGGAAGCTTCTCGGGATGTCTGCATGATTGTTTATACTGAAAATCGCAAAATAGCTGCGTTTCACGTGTGGCTGTTTTCACGGCTTATCAACGGAGCTGGACGGAAGTTAACGGAAGTGCGGAAGTTAATGGAGGTCAGTGATGTGGGATCCGGAACTACGGATATCGAAACCACTACACCACAGGGGGTTAAGGGTGAGTGGGGATTGTACTGCTGGCAACTTGAATAGGGAAGGATGACAATGAAGATAGTTGAAGGACTTCACTCACCGGCCGGACGAGTAAGGTGGGGGCCGGATGAGTCGGATGAAGACCGGACGGATTTCTGGATGGCCGGAGTCACGGCAAGGATCGGAGCCGAGACTGCAAGAAGTCGGATTAGGTCCGGACGTTGGATGAAGGATGGAGGTCACGTCTGGACGTCGGACAAAGGTAAGTTGTCAAGACGAAGAAGCCGGAAGAGGTGGAAGTAAGGAAGACGACCGGATGAGTAATCCGAAGACAGAGGTAACGTTACAACGTTAAGTCGGAAGTATCGGAAGTTCGGGAGTTCGACCGGAAGTGGGTTTGGTGCGGAGTAAACATTTATAATCAAACTGAGGTACATCCAAGACTGTACTACATATTTATAATATTTACGGAGCAAGTCCGGATGCGGAGGGAAGTAACTAAAAGACAATAAGATAAGTCGTATAACAATAAAGACAATAAAGGAAAGCATGTGGAGCATAGTGCATAAGGACATAGGATGTGATGGTGAGTCGGATGACTGATGAAAACCATCGGATACAACACTGTGTGGACTTGGTGTCGTGTGGGAAGTCCAAGGAAGTTCCGTGATACTTCCGAGGCCAGAGCTGGAAGACAGAAGACGGAGATCGGAGGACCGGAGGTTCGGATGAAGAACCGGAAGTGGCGTAGAATGCCGGAGGTGAGGCCAGAGGCGGCTGGATGTGGTCGGGAGTGGTCCTGGAGTTGCACGGGCATAACAAGGACTCACAAGAAAGAGGCATCCTTACCTGGACAGTAGTCTGGAGGAATCTCAGAGGGATCTGGAATTGTGATCATGGGAGCAACAAAGTGACAAGCTGTCCGATCAAACTGTCTGATCGCGACAGTTTCCAAAGTGATCGAGAATCGTTGAGCTCTTCTCAACAGAGGTCCGAGCTAGGCTGAAGGCCTCCTCAAAGAGTCCCCATTGAGTTCAAGATATACTGCATGGGCTCAGTTGAAGAAGACAAGGAGCAGCAAGAGGAACTTTGGTCTTCAGCAGACACAGTCCCATGACAACCCAAATTTCGATCGCAACCTGTCGCTTTGACATCCAACAGATAGGGGGAACCAGTAGCATTAATAGAGCAGATCATTCGAGTCAGAATCTCGGTTAAACGGACTTTTATCACATAATAATGTACAGTAATCGATCAGAGAGAGTAGTATATAAGGGCACAAGTTGGGAGGGTTCAGCAGCAGACCTGGGGAGCTACCAGCCCTCACACGCACTTGGCAGGTTGCCAGTGTGGGTAAAAAGGTCTTAGCTCGGGGAAGCAGTAGCTTATCCATCGTGAATGGGGACTTAGACAATGGATATGGATTTGATTGAACAAGTTGTGTTTGATTGAACTGTGTGATGTGTCTTGAGCATTTGCGTCCACGATTGAAATTAACTGTGTCTGTGAACTGTGTCCTGTGTGTCTTGTGTGTCCTCGAACGTGTCTTGTGTCTGTCTTGTCATTGTGTCTGTGAATGTGTCTGTGAATGTGTCTGTGTGTGTGTCCTGTGTCTTATGTTCTGTTCGCAAACCATGTTGTGAGCTCGCTGAACCAATGTGTTAGCAAAAGCCTCGTTCCTTGGAACAAAACTGCGCCAGTCTTTCGAGAATGTTTTACCTTGACAAACCAAACTCTTGTTCCTCGGAACAAAACAACGCCGGTCCATCGAGGCCTTTATCTGCACAAAACCGTCCACACTTCGAGATTGCGAACTCCAAGTTCCTCTCTGAGTTTGACAAATGCCCAAAAAGTGAACATGACTTCTCTGCTCGACGACTTGACCAGTCACGGACGGAGGTCCTAATTCGAGGACAATGGAATCTATGCTATAGGACCTAATACTTGGTCCTCACCCCCGAACTTGCACACATCTCGCTCTTGGCAAAGAGGGAGTTGATTTGGTTTTTGGTTGGTTGGTATATTTTTGGGTGACCTTCGGGTCAGTCGAGGATGTAGAGACTGTACCTATAATGCAATATGGTAGGCCGTGGCCTAAGACCACATTGAATTATTCCTGATGGTTGGCCGTGTGGACCATAATGCAATGTGGGTACATGACAGCAATGCTAACCCTGCTAACCACTAATCTAACCCTTAACCTTAACCAAAACAGCCAAAATACTTCTGGGAACCCAAACCATTAACCTCCAACCTTAACCCTAACCTCTAACCACTAACCTTAACCCTCTAACCCTAACTGGTGGCCCTAGTCGGGCCATAATAGGGGTGAAATAGAGCTGATTACATGTCTGGTATACCCTAATCTATATTGCAAAGTACCATAGCACTCTTAGTCTAGTGGTTATCATTGTTCTATGAGCTGGGTTTTACTAGATCATTCAATGGTTTTGGGTTCAATTCCCAGTGAACGCTTCTTTTAATTACTTTTGTTATATCATGTTTCACGGACACATTGCATTGTGGGTATTATTGGCCTGTTGGCCAACGATCAGCTATATTGAGAGGCGGTCATTGGTAGCGGCCAACCACATTGCAATATGGGCACTTTCCTTGGTGTCGAATGTCCCACCAAGTCGGAGGAAGTGTGTGACACTCAGGCAGCTTATGGTCCAGGATTGTTAGCTATAATCTATCCAGTGTGGTAACCGAACAGACTACACGCACCTTTAATAATAATGAATGGATGTCCTCGGGGAATTTCAGGTTTGTTTCCTGGTGCTTTGTGTGGATGCAGATAATCTCAAGCTGTTCATTCTCTATTGCGAGAGACGGGATAGTCTTGTAAACAACTTTCTACCGTTTTTGTGAAGACGGTCGTTAGAGACAGGGTGCCTGGCAATGTGGATCGCGGCATCTTGCGCAACATTGAGAGAATTCAGCAGGGCCCGCTCACCGTATCATATTGAGGATAGGCAAGGCGAAGAGCTTGATGTGAGTGGCTCATGACAAGGAGGGAGAGACAGCCATGCAGCGGGCATGATGCGGGAGACAGGTTCCTGGGGTCCTCAATACCCAAAATGTATTGGCAGTATCGGTCTAACACGGTCCGCGACCCGCCCGGACATCAAACCCAAGCTGTCCAGTCCATGTTGCCATAGTGATGGGCATGTCAAGCGACTTTGAGGCGCCGTTGAAGGCGGGGAGCGATATCGTGCGCATTGGGACTGGTATATTTGGGGCGCGCGCGAAGAAATAGAGCTCAATGTCCCGTGAAGAAATAGAACGGAAGTGGCCTGAAAGCAGAGCACCTGGAAGTCTGATGACATTTTGCAGAAGTGTGGGGCTTCCGTGAGTTCTGGTACTTACAGCCGTTTGCAAAATTGATGACAGTGCCATCAATTTTTAAAATAAAGACAACGTCAACGCATCAGATTGTCAAGGTCATTGCACCCTCATTTCTGAGCCGATTTTGATGATTTATAGCGCGTTTGGAAGCCCCTCAACGGCGCTTTCGGTTCATACATTATACTCCACATAAATCCAAAGGGAAAAATATATTCAAATGGCACAACGTGTTTTCAACTCGGAGCGGAAATGGCCATATCTCCCTCAATACAAGTCACACCTACAAGATATTGGGTAATAATCAAAGCTAGACTGAAGGCAACCATGTGATGGCTTTCAAAAAGTGAAGCACAGTTGAGTCACACATGCCAGAATGAAGTCTTCCCACCACGGAGAATCACCGTTGAAATGAGCCCCAAACCATCGAAATCGACCGAGAATTGGTTGAGTGGTGCGTCATTGAAGTTCAGGATGAATCTGGAAGAGCGAATTTTTGACTCGCTGGCTTTTCACATGTAATTGATGTCAGTGGAACGAGATGAAAGCCCCGCTTAAGGGCTTTCGAATGCGCTATAAATCATGTGAATCGGACAGGAAATACGTGAGAAACGGGCCCGGCAATCTGCGATATCAAAGTTGATCTCAATTTCCAAATTTGGTGCGACTGTCATCAATTTTGCAAAGAGCTGTAAAACTGCAAGCTCACGAAATCCAAAAGTCTCTGATTAACCATGAAATACGAGTATTGACCTAACCGCACCACCCTTCTTCCGCCCCGGGCCTCCCTTATTCGTAAAGTCTCTTTCTCCACTCATCCATCGGCTCTTCCTCCTTGTCAGGCGCTTTGGTCGACTCCTTCTCGAGTCTGGGACCGTTTGTCGACTCCTTCTCGAGTCTTGGACCGTTTATCGACTCCTCCTTGTCAATTCCCTTGCTCGACTCCTCGAGTCCCTCGGTCCGCACCCCACCCTCCTCCTTGCGTACTCCCTCTGACTCCCCCTCCTTGTCGAGTTCCTCATTCAACGTCTCCCCCTTGTTCAGTCCACCCGTTGACTGACCGTCCTCGTAGAGTCTCCTTTTCCACTCGTCCATCGGCTCCTCTTCTTCAAGCGCTTCGGTCGACTCCTCCTCGTAGAGTCTCTTCCTCCACTCATCCATCGGCTCCTCCTTGCTGGCTCCCTTGCTTTTCTCCCCCTCCCCGCGAACGTCCTTGCTCTCCTTCTCCTTCGCACATGTACACGCAACCACCGGCACCGGCGCCGGTAGAATCCCCCCAGGCCCACACCCAATCGCCACCTTCACCTCCCTTATCCTCCGCGCCCGCTGCTCGTCTGCGTCCCTTCCTCCTCCTGCCCCTGCTCCCGGCGGTAAATCCGATTTTTCGCCAACGCGCCCCGGATAATACCTCCTCCAATACTCCTCCAGTTCAGCGGGCGCCAGCGCGTCAATGACGTCCACGTTCCCCAGCGGGGTCGGCGTCTGAGAAGAATTTCAGTCAGGTCTGATCAGCAAGTCTGTAATTCAAAAAGAAAATCGGGAACGCACATTACTCTCTGCACCGGGCATCGTCCCGTCGGGAAACGGCACAGCCTCGAAGGGGACGCTCCGCCCGTCGCCCAGGGCGAGGTTGTAGTTCTACCCGCACGCAAGAATGAATGAATGAGCCTACGCGGGATTGGAATGACGTTTTGAAACGCACCTTGCGCGCAAATATCCGGAGGTCGTCGATCTTGGGTTCGAGCTGCGCCAGCAGCGGCGGCAGCGCGGCGTCGAGTGCATTTTGTAGTGCGGCTTTAAGAGCGGCGGGGATGGACTCGGAGAGCGCGGCGTGGAGGGCTGCGTGCGAGGCTGCTTTTGCTGCTGCTTCTGCTTCTGCAGATGCTTCCGCTTTCGCAGATGCTTCCGCTTGTGCAGAATCGGATGCCGCTGTCGTAGATTCCAAGTCCCACTCGGAGGGCTCCGAGTCAGCGCATGAGAGATCAGGGAAACTAGTCGCAGTATCGATATCCGTTTCCGTTTCTTGATTTTCTGCCCAATCTGAGTCTGGATTTGCGGCAGTCTCGTTCTGAAGCTGAGCAGTAGCCGCATCCCGCGCCTCAAGTTGGCGCAGCTGTATCGACGGCACGTCCGCCGTGCCGGCGGTGGCGGGAGTGAGCACTGTGCATGTGGCGGTGAGAGGTGTGAACGCGGCGGGCGGAGCGCCCGCTCGAAAGGGGGCTGGCATTGTCGCCGACGGTCCCGCTTTTGCGGGTGCAGATGCTGCCGCCGACTCCGTGTCGAAGGAGGACGACTCAGCAGCACTGGGAAGATCAGTCGCGGCTCCCGAGTCCTCCCTCGATGGTTCTTGTGCTGCCGATTTCGGATTGCTCGTCTGAGCCTCCTTCGAGTCGTTCTGAAGCGGGTCCTGGAGAGGTGCGTTCGCGAGCTGGCTCGCAGCCGCGTACTGCAACGCCCGATCCCGCGCTTGTGCCTGTGCTTTCGAGACAAGCAACTGCACCAGCGGTACAATCGACGAATCAAGCCCCGCCGTCATGCTGCCGCCAGTGGTGGGAGTACGCGTGCTGGTGAGAGCCGGTAGTATAGATTCGGCAAGCCGAGCCTGGGGGTCTGCTGGCGGCGACGGGTCCTTCGTCTCTTCGGGCGCCGTCAAGTCCGGGCTCGCGTCCGCCTTCCCCTTACCCTTCCGAAGAGCCTTCTCCCGCGCCTCTGCTTGTGCTTTCGCGAGAAACAGCTGCACCAGCGGCACAATTGACGAATCCGGGCCCGCTGTAGACGATGATGTGCTGCTAGTGCCGGTGGTGGGAGGTAGTTTCGGTTCTAGTGGTGTATCCTCGGCGGGCGGAGGACCAGGGTCGCTCGTCTCCTGCACGGGCTCCGAATCCGTGCTCGTGCTCGTACTCGGACTCGCAGCGCCTGCCTCAGCCTGCCGCGCGTCATTGATATTCCGAAGAGCATCCCGCACATCCCGCGCCTGGCCCTTGTTTCGGACAAGGTAGACCAGCGGCGCAAGAGTCGAATGAACGCGTGCGTTGGTGGTCGGGGGTTTCATTGTAGATTTTTGGCTTTGCGTGTGAGAGGACCGGAAAAGAAGCGTATACGTCACGCGTCATATGTGTGGAGTCAATTAGCTAGCGAGCGCGTCATGTCCCGTGACCGTGAAAGGACGCGTCAGCGCGCGCTAAAAAATCGTAAGTGAGAAATTTCGAAAGCCGCGAGAAATAAACTTTGAAAATGCCATACAAACCCGTCAGTAAGTATACACGATATGTCATACAAGTAAGCCTCCAAAAATCATGGCCGAATCCCGTCGTTCGTGGCCGAAATTACACCTGCCCCCTGGACATTTCTTCCCTCGCTCTTACACCTTCGCGCCTCTCAGTATGCACACCCTCCCTGACCACAACCTCCTCACGCTAACCATGCTTCTCATACCGCTTCTTGATCCCTCGTATAAGCACAAGCATATAAAACGCCGTCAGGATTCCACAAATCCCTGCCACCGCCGTCGTGACGATGATGGTCGTCTTGCTCGCGATAGAAAGCGTCGAGTTCTGCGTGCCCAGGACACTCGAGATCGTCGAGAGCACGCCCGCGACGGAGTTCATGAAGCCAGGTCTGGCGTGCAAGATGCACAGTGAGCATATGGCCACGGGGGAAGGAAGGTAAAAACGTACAAGAAAATTCGATTCGCGCACCAGATGTAGTTCCCTCGCCACCTGAACCACAGGTACAGCATCCCCGCCGCGCCCAGGGCCGTGCACACCCACGCGATAACATACCTACACACGACAATCCGCTCAGCACACGCACGAACACGGAGTGAGAGGATCTAAAGCCACGACTCACAAAGATACATGCTTGATAGCATCCTCCGCCGTGATTCCAAGCGCACCCAGCTCCTTATTCTGCTGCAGATTCGTAAACGTGCCCGGGAAGAGGACGAAGCCCGCGAGGAGGATCCACACGAAGAACTGCGCGAGGAGGTTGTAGAACGGCTGCGGAACGCCGTAAGTAACAGAATGGAGTATGCGAACATGGGCAAGAAAGAGAAGGTGACTCACCGGAATCGAATCAATCGCCAACAGCATATTCACATACCCGCCCTTCGCGCTCGCCCTTTCCGCGTA